ATAGCAAAGATTTTTAAGATGCAACATTGCTCATTGTAGCGGTTGAGTCTTGATTATACAGTAGAAGAGATTTCCAAACGTAGATATATGTATGCAGCACTGATTGAAATTGGAATTAGTGAAAGATTTGAAAGGTGGCGAGTGATTTGCAAGTTGCAGATATTTTGAAATCGAAAAGATTTGTAAGTCATTGAGATTACAAGGGTGCAGAAATTCACACATGTTGCATTGTTTGTTGCAGTGATTGAGTCTCATCCGGACAATGCCAGGGATGATCTCCGTCTGGATTGCCCCTTCCCTGGGCTGGTGGAGTTTGCTGACTCCCTGGACCTCAGCCAAATGACCAAGCAGGTGAATCATATGTAAATATGTATATCCCTGTAGATCCAAACGCTAGGGCTGGGGCAAGAAGCAGAGAAGGTGGTTGGTTGAAACACCAACCATGCTCAATCCAGCGTAAGATTCTGTGTCATCAGAACTGGATCTTGTGTTACAGTTGAGACTCTATAAGACCATCATAAGACCCCACTGGGCCATCGCAGAACAATTCTGAGACATTCTCAAGACCGACCGACACAAGACCTTCAGTCAGAGTTCAAGTCACAAGCTATTCAAATAAGCTGCAACAAAGCATTGCTTTGCCATGGTTGTTTCCTCGTCTTCAACTGGCACTCCTTTGATTGTCTGCTCTTGATTAGTCCCTGTGCACAGATTGTTGTCAGTTGTAGCTGATAGCACTCTAGGAAGGGCCTTGAAGTATTCAATGGGAAAACGCTGTTAGCAATGTACAAAATTATTCAACCGACTTAGATGTTTCAAAAATGTAATTTTTACACCTATTTGTGTTATTCCTTGCAGGAACACATGCATACACCTTATCTCATCCTCATTTACAAATTTCTGGAGAAGTGGAAAGCAGAGGTAATATTGTGTCTGTGCAAAGAGAGAATTAATTTTCTGACAAAAAAGCTTGAAATGCCTTACATGCAAAAAAACAGAAAACCTACACCTGTTTATCTGACATTGAGTTAAGATCACTCAAAAAAAACCTGAGTTTCAGATTGTCAAATTTCCACCTTTTTATAGGCTCAAAAACTTTAATTTTGATAAAAGGTTTTGCCCTTACACCAATGTGTATAACACTGGATGCTCAGTGTTTGTCAGAGAGCTTGCGAAAAAAATCACAACTTTCCTCAGGTGGGACTCGAACCCATGACCCCCTGTTTACTAGTCCAGATGTCTTAACCATTCGACCATCGAGTTTGCCGGGGTTGGCTGGCTGGACTGAGCCAGATGCAGCAGCGCGTACTGCAAATTTAAAAGATGTATTTTGCATTTGGAACATGTTATATTAATGGGTTTTGCCCCAACAAAACTTAACAAACTAGGAAAATATGCTCAGAAATCTCTAAGATGTTCACGACACATATCAAATGGAAGTTCGATTTGTTTTAGTTTTAATATTTTCAATTTAAATTGTTCAGTGAAAGTTTGTACTGAATATGTTACATGTACATTTCACACTGAGCAAGCAACAGGATGCTACAATCCTTTTGTTGAATGGTCTTATGTTAAATGCACCTGTTTTTTCTAGCACGGGAGTGACTTTCCCAAGAACTACAAGGAGAAGGAGAGCCTTCGCCAGATGATCCGCAGCGGTATCCTTGTCAATAAGGATGGTGTACCAGAGATAGAGGAGAACTTTGACGAAGCCATCAAGAGTGTCAACGCCACGGTGCTACCAACGCGAGTTCCCAGTGGGGTGCAAGACATACTCCGGGATCCATCGTGCGTCAATCTGACATCGGAGGTACCGCTATCAATTCATTCCAAGAAAAACAGAGAATTGTAACAAAGAGATAAAGTTTTAGCCCTAAATGTTACCGTGTTCATCAATGACGTACATGTAAATGTACCATTGTCATAGTTGGACTAACTGAGCAGAGGTCAGCGCTCATTCACTGTGTTTCGTCTCTTCTGAATTCCTGCATTTTTTAAGAAAACACTTGTAGGACAGTTTCTGTTGTTGCATCCCTGGTTTAAGCAATTATTTCCCTTCAGGGCCGAGCATGGTCTTGCTGTGCTTACTGCCCCACAGTCTCTATGAAACAGCTGAAGGCTCTCTGAGCACAAGATGAGCTGTGAAGCAGCGCTATGACATTGGGTCTAGATGTGACCTTTAAGGCCAAGGTCTGTGGTAGTATAGTGGAACGCCACAAGGAGGCCCGGTCGTATTATGAAACGGAATGAGCACCTGCACGGTACATGCACAGAGACGGAGGCAGACTCAGGAGGATATTTGTAGCCTTGATTTATTGGTGACCAGCAATTGTCACAGGCAACCTTACAAGCTATATCCTGGAGTGACAAAAAAAACCCCATTGCCTGAAATAACAAAATAACAAGAGCTCCCAATGATCAAACTTTAACTATACACACTGCACATTAACAGACTATAGCATACATGTGTATCGTTGCTTACATAGGACACTTAAAAGTGAACGGCAATGTCCTTACACATTATAACACATCAATATCACAAACTTGCAGGGTTGCACAGCCCCACAATTGCAAACCGTCAGAAATGCTCAGTCCTCCGGTTCTCTGCATCACCTCATAGATTCCCATGATGCTAGTCATCACAACATCCGCGATGCACGCCTTCAAATCACATCTGACCTGACCTGTTTTGTGACGATTTGCTTACAGCTCCAATGAATAACATGATGCTGAATCAGAGATTGAAATGTGAGTTCACGATGTGCGTTCATTGTGTCTGCAGAGTTCCTCTTTCTGGGTGATTGCCCAAGCCGCCAAGCAGTTTGTAGACAATGAAGGCAACGGCAAGCTGCCCTTACGAGGCTCCATCCCAGACATGACGGCAGACTCTAAGAGATACATCCAACTGCAGAGTGTGTGAGTTGCATTTCTTGTGCTGAACAATTGTGCTGTATGATTTTGCTTTTTACTTCTTGTGCTATCGTAATGACATGTGATGCCTTTATAGCACTTTATACCCAGAGGTGTCAAAGCGCAGCACAGTTATTGCCCCTGTACATTGGGTCCTATTGCCGTGATTACCCAGGATCACTGCAGGTGTGTAACTCTTCTTTGGATCATCTGATTTCCTTGGTTTTCACTTCGCACTAATGCCACTGAAAATTGAACTCTTTCATCAGGTACATATTAATACTCCTGATTGAAGAGAAGCTATTGTAGTAAAGTATCTTGCCAAGGAACACAAGTGCCATGGTGCCTGCCAAGTTCAAAACCACTTAATATCACCCTCCTGAAGCCCAGAACCACAGGACCGTGGTACTTTAGTTTCTTTTGGTTTGAGTGGAACACTGTGGTTTTTTACACATTTATATGAAAACTAGTGCTCATGCTGAGCTGTACATGCACTAAACAGTGCACACACAAAGGACGATGTGACTATACTGCTGATTAGTAAAATGTCCCATCATTCATGAGAGCAAGGTAAAATACCAGCATTTTGTATGTACATGTAAGATGTGAATAAATACATGTACGTGTGATTGATGACACTTTCGTTCACTCATTGACTATTAGGAATGAGTGTCTTGTAAACAAATTCCCGTGAACTCTAGTTTTGTCAAAACTTAGTGTCCAGTTTAAAACCTGGTACTTTACTCGTAGAACCTGTATCTCTGAGGGAAATTTCTTCTGTGGGAATACATACTGCATGCATTTCACTTGGGCTTAGACAGTATTTAAGGTGGTTTGTGAATTTAATCCAACTACATGTACCTGATTTAAATTTCTTAATTTAAATCCAAACTTGTTTGACTATGTAACAAATGAAATAAACAAAAGGAAATTAATGCATATATAGCTAAATTTATTTGCTTTAGAATAGATAGATAAGCCGAATTTCTCCAATTTTTATCAATATAAAAAAACCTGAATCAACTAAAATATTATATAAATCTTTAAAAATCTGATTCAATTGTTTTTTTGTGAAAATCAAAAAAAATCACCAACCCTGTTCATTCATGCACAAAGTCTTTTTGCATACCACATCAGATTTGTGACGCCTTCTCATGCCATCTGCATCCATTTTATCATCGGGAAAGGTTTATTTTTTACTTTATTTCATGTAGGTACATGGAGCAAGCCAAGCAGGACTTTGCAGCGGTCGCATCAAGGGTGCACCAGATCCTTGTCTCTTTAGGAAAAGTAAGTCTGTCTACTTGTGCCCGTTTTAGCCTTGGGGGAGACTGTAAGCTTCCGATAGGGGTATTCATATAACCTTGGTGTACATGTTCCCCATACAGGTATATACCATAAACATCCAGGATGTGCAATGCCATCAGTTTACAGCATCAGTGGGGTCATTGTTTGCAAAAGTGGTCTTAAACAAATGGGTGTAGGTTATTTCTGTCTTGGATTCTTCAACTTTGGGGTAATTGAGACTTTTAGGATGAGTCGTAAATAGTTGAGGACAAGAAATGTGCTGTGAATTGTCAGTTTATTTTGTCTCCATGTCGCAATAATAAAATGTAGAATGCTGAGTGTGTAGTCATTGTCCTTTACCTGATTCCATTGGTATTTGCTGTACCACAGTCAGCTACAGTGAATTTTTATTGGTTGTGAATTGATCGCGAGATGTGCCACAAGCATGTGTGCACTATATCAATCGAGTGCATTGGCGATGTTGCTGTGCTACAAAAAATGACGGATAACGGTGATCTTTCCCACGGTCAATGTGTTGTGTCCAGTACATTGTAATTAAGTAACATTGGGTACTAGGATGGACAGCCACGCTGATACTATGCTTTAATTATTGTAAGAGATGTGTTGTGTGGGTACAGTGAAGTACTGTGTGTTATCATGACCATGACCGAGACCCGTGGGTTAGACTTCTATTCGTGCACCCAGCTATTCTCGTGAAACATAAGTATGCTCTAATTACTGTTTCTGCCATTGTTGTTTATGTAAACGGTCATGTCGTCGCTTCTCATCGATGCATGCTGTCCAATCTTGCCAATGCTTTTCGATGGCATTTTGTGTTTATAATATTTTGAAATTCAGCCAGTCGACAGAAACCCCAATGCTTTATGAATCCCAGGTTTCTGTGTAAACCAGTTTGTTAAAAACTCCAAATTTCTCCCTCTTCCCAACCCCCCCCAAAAAAACTAAAACCCCAAAAAACAGCTCAACAAAGGACACTGTAATCAATTATTTTCCTTGTAATTTAATGTCTAACTTGCTGTTCAAGTACACGTTTCAATTTCAATTCGATTGTCAAAGTGTTTTAATTTCTCTTGCATTAAACTATGCATGTATTACACATGTAAGGCCGTTCCAGAGTAATCTATTACCATGGTATAACAATACAATTGTTGCCTGCAGTGACTGGGTCCATTGGATTTGTACACCCTCAGGGGCAGATAGCACCCTCAGCTGGGCTCGGCAACAATTGTAATAGAGTACCGAAGTGAATACGTCACGCGCACAATTAGTGTGTAAAAGGCATGAGCGTGTGAACCAACACGCGCGCGTACTCCATTCGTTTGCACTGCACTTTCTGGTTCACAGTGACGTCACACTTTGGTACTCTATTGTTTTGCAGAAGTACTTATTTTGAAGGCGAGAATCTGCAGTGCCATAATTTTTGTGGGTTGCATAGGCCTACATGTAGTAATGATGTCACGTTTTGTTTACATGCCACTTTCCTACAGAGTCAGATGGGGCCCTCAGTCCACTGATCACCATAGAAAAGCACACACTGCAACAAAGTACATGTGTGCTATCCTCAGTGCAAAGTTCTAAGGAAGGATTTCCATTTTGCGAAGTGTAGCAGTTTGCATCGTAGTTCCAGTGTGGATTTCAGATTCAAGGGCACCGAAAAGCAGACAGTTGTCTGGTTACTGAATGAAATTAGTGCTTGTGCAGAAAGTTGTTATTCTTATGACGTGAGCAATGCCTCTTTTATTTTCAGACTCCTGACAGCATACCAGACATGGAAATCAAACTGTTCTGCAAGAACACTCAGTTTCTCCGGCTAGTCCGGTGCCGGTCACTGGCACAGGAGTACACCAGAGACACCTGCAGTGCTTCTGATATAGGTTAGGATGCTGCTATCTTCAGGCGACTTCGATTATATATAGTTTGACCACTGGCAAAGTGCTTCTTACCACTGCACAAGTGGCATTCAGCTCCTCTTAATACTCCAGTCAAACATTTCTATGAGATCCAATCCTCACTCACATTTTGCCATTGGCTGCTACTCTAGCTGCATTCATGATGTCTACATTTATTGTTGTGTCATTGGTTCCCTACATTGTACATAGTGATGATAGCCAGCAGTGACTAGACCCCAGCCAGCAATGACTCGTCGAACCATCCATTGTTCGAGTGTCATTGGTTGAACTTTATAGTTGGGTCATTCCATGAGGTTGGGGCACAATTTACGACCATGTTAATTGTTACATGGGTTCCTTATAAATGAACAGCTAATCCCTGCATGCGGATTCCAAATTTACACTGTTTTACATCTTGCAAGGCTGAATACAGAGGTGTGTGTTATTTTTACTGAATAAATTACCTACTCTACAGGTCATGACAGGTGGTGAAAGTTACCCATGTAACAAGGACATCGTCACAAATTGTGTCCCAACCTCATGGAATGACCCAGTTGTTACTTTAAACTTACCCTTGCCTGAGTTACATTCTCTAGTGCAAAGAACCCTATGTACATGTGCGAGCCATGCTGTGCTGAGTATTCTTTCAGGTATGATTTTTTCATAGTCATGGAATTTCCTTTTTTTTGTCTTGGTTCTTTTCCCTCATACATAGCATCTCATCTGGAGAATCCAGACAGTGAGGTGGTATTGTACGTCCTGCTGCGGGCTGCCGATCGGTTCTACAATCAGTACAACCGCTTTCCTGGTAGTTACGATGACCAAGTGGAAGGGGACACATTCAAGTTGAAGGTATTTTGTGATAACATCCTAATTTTTTTCAGAAAGCGTTGTAAATGGAGACCTATATTGTGCTAATTTTCTTTAACTTGCGCCGTATGCCAATTTTTCCTTTCAATAAAAATCGCTTTCTTTTTATGTAATATTCTGTCTCTGGTCGGAATAATGTTGTCTGGTTTAAGGGATTTCGTGGAGAACTGTTGTGGAGACATTTTCCCAGAAATCTGATAAGTGATAGTTTGTAAATAATCCAGTATTAGAGAACACTTTAATAATCTCATACATGTAGTTGCGAATGAAGGGTTTATTTCCAAAATGAGATATATCCATTTGAAAAACATACAGTATTTCCACAATGATGAAAGATTGAAGAGTTTTAGCAATGTGCCATGTGTCCCAAAACTTCTTGTTCACTATTTTGACTCATTCTAGTTGTGTTTAGCTGTCCTAAAGCTGTAGAAACTGACTGTAGACAACCAAGAGAAGATAGGATTCTGAAAGATACCAAAATGACGCTGATCACATTTTGGAAATAAACTCTTCAAATAGTTTTGATTGTCTCTATGACTGTGTTTCTGGTTGCCACTGTCAAATTACGAGCCCTCAAAGCAATGCATCTTTTTTGTCCTGGTATTGTCCCTTAGAGCTGTGTTCATAATATCCTGCACGAATGGGGAGTCAACTTCACGATGAAAGATGACTACATCAATGAAATGTAAGCAGTCTGAATTAACAAAAACATTGAAAATGTTCATTAAAAAAGATGGAAGATGATTCGAATTAAAAACTTTACATGCGAAGAGAGAGGAATGACCTTTTGTCCATTACGAAATAGTCCTGTTAAACAGTGATATTTCCTTAGTCACATTTGGCTGGTTTTTAAGTTTGAAATTGAAGTCGTTGCCGTTTTTCGCAATACATGTGTGTGTTGATTGATGAGGTGTCGGGGATAAGGGATGGAACACAGTCCTTTGCTTTAGGCAAGGGCTCCCCTTGTACCCACAGTTACCATCTTACCCCCCCCCATAGAATTTAGTGATGATAAAAAGAACTTTGTATTGCTTTAAATGAAAACCAGACCTCCTGTCCGTGCCCACTTTTAGACTAGTGAGGCTCCTTCCCTTCCCCACGTCTCTGTAATTTGTACCCAAGTTATTCTGATCATGCCCAGAAGGGTTTGTTCATGAAACATTAACCCTGTGAGCATTCTGGGCCCAGTGTTGTAGTAAAGACGATGCATAAGGTGCTTCCCAATACCAGGAACAAAACCATGCCAGGAGAAACTGGGTGCACAATGACAAAGGGTTACTTTTGTTGGAGTTAATTTTACTAGCTTGTAACTTGAATTCAGGCTTGGGGTCTTGTCTGCAATTATCTGGGGCTGAACATGATGCTAGAGGAGAACGCCCAGCCAGATTTTTTAAAATGAGCAGGACATTGGTATTGTTAAAGCTGTGTTGCATCATGGGTAGTGTGGGATTCATCGATTGTTTGGCTCATTTTACAATTCAGGTGTCGCTATGGGGCAGCAGAATTGCACTCAGTCGCCGCTTTCCTCGGTGGCGCAGCTGCCCAGGAAGTCATCAAGATCATCACCCACCAGTTTGTCCCCTTCAATAACACATACATCTACAATGGCATCACGGCCACCTCTGCCACATTTCAGCTTTGAGGATGTGACAGTGCCGATGTACATCTTTAAAGGGAGCTAGAATCACCTATACCTGGACTGATGTCACTGTCCTGCGAATTGGCCGACCACTGCAAAGTCACACGTCCACAAGTTTCTGCTGTCAGAATGCCCCAGCTGCAATGAAGTTGTGGGGAAGATTATTACTGATAAGAAAACGTGGACTGACTTATTGGAGACTTGCAGTGACCTCACAATGGTTTAGGTCGCCACAGTAACACCAAAGAAAATGTATGTGGTCCCCACAACTACAGACCAAGTTAGTGCATTTGTGTCGTGATGTATGATCCTGCAAATTCTAGCTGAGTCAGGTTTGCTCTTCATAAGGGATTAATGCAGTTCCGGTTCCAATTTCAAAGGCAAAACATTGGGAATAGGTAATGCTTGACTCAGTTAGTATTCCACTGTTATCAAAAAGACACACTAAAAGAAATACATTTACAGCATGCTCCTCAGTGCTCCAGTACTTTGTCTTGCAAAATTCAGCCACAGCAAACATGTCCCCCGTTTTTCTTTAAGTCACTTGACCCATCAATATGACTCGTTTTGTGTGTTATGCACAAAGCACGGACTGGTGTTTGAAGTCTAGTTACTTTTTGGCTCAATTTTATGAAATTCTATGGCCAGAACTAAAAGCAACACATTTTGTTTACTGCATGCGAGTTGGGAGATAGAAATGATCAAAGGTCTCTGTTCATTGTGTTCAATATCAACGCAGATTTTGTTGGTAATGCACTTTAGCTTTCTAGAGTTTTGCACCTCATATCTTGCGTATGTTTGGACTTTAGTTTTATGAAAATGGGACACACATGTACAATTCCACCTCAATTTAAAACAACAGGTTGGCAAAAACTTCTCCATTGACTGTGAATGCTAGGATAATAGCTTTAGTAATAGATGCCAATAAAAGAAAAAGACCTATTGCAAAATGCGGACGTGAGTATGGAGCTTTTTAAATGTATACTGATTTTCATCAGTCTGTGGACAGCCAAGATCTTTAAGGCTGGGGAAAAATTCCCTTTATTAAACCTTTTGGCTGTGAGGAGGCAAAATACCTATTTCAAGTTGCCCTGGTAGTTATGTAACACTGGCTAGAGTCTTCTTTTTGGCAAAGATACACAGTTGTCAGAGGCATTGGGATTAGCACAAACACAGGCATTCAAAAGTCAGATACACAAGTGCTGTTGCAAGGACCTGTTTGTAATCCCAGTGGAGCAGAGAATCCGATGGAGATGATGGGTCTCGAGCTGGACTGAGAGAGGGTGCTATTGAACAAATTGAACACTCCCAACCAATGTGGCTCTTTTCAACCGATGAAGGGGTACTTCTGCTCGAGGTGGATAATGAGCAGATCAATGAGGAGAAATACTGAAGTTGGATTAGTTATACACTGTATATTACACGTGTCATTGTGGGTATTTTTTTTTACACAGGGGAAAAACTTCACCAAGTGTTTAGGCCCCAGTTATGGTTTATTTTCAAATTGATCTTCAGGGAATAAAATTATGGTCATGGGTGTCGATGGGATTTTTTTGGGGGGGCTACTTTTTTCTGGGGGGTGGTTTGGGGGCAGCAAAGCACAGATAAGCTACAAAAAGGGAAAGGGGCAATTTTTAGGGGTTTCTGTTAAGCAAATTGGTGATTTTTCAACCCTTATTGTCTTTTTTTTTTCATTTCCTTAGCTTTTACCCCCAAACCAAAATTCATCCTTTTGCAAAGAGCACTGATTACCATTACCAACTTAGCATCTTTTTTCTTAATCCTGAAAAGGGGAAAACTTTTAAAACTAAAGGCATGATCTTCAAAACTCATGGCACGAAACAAAATTCAAAGCCAATCTGTTGCAAAGGAAAGTGATAAATGTAATTCATGAAGGTTTTATTGAAATTTCACTCTGACAACTTGCAACCTTGTATGTTTCTTGTTTATCAAATGTGTTAACATAGATTTGTAATACGAGTCAAACCAAACAAAACCTACTTCTGAAAAATGTGTTCGTGTAGTCTCTACACAAGAGTTAGGATTTACTTGTATTCAGTGTACAATACTCTACACAGACTGTGAAGCTAAAGCCAAGCAAATTTCTGTACATTAACAAAACGGCTGTACATTTACATGTGGGAAGCTGTTTGCTTAGAAGCTAAATGGGCTCGCAGTGGGGGGACAAACTGTTGAATCACACAGGAATTTGAAAGGAAAAGAAGACTGTAGACTTCTGTTTTGAAATAAATACCTAAAGGTTGAAGTATGTATTGTAATGAAAAGCTAGATTCAAATGTATTTGGAAATGGAGACTTGTTTTCACAGACTAGTTCCATCCTTTGCGGGATTAAGCCTTCCGTGTCCAAGTGACTGAACAGAGGACTTTGATGAAGCTAAAAGATATTGTCACTTTGCTACTGTTGGTTTCTAATTTTGATTTCTTATGGGGGCTATTTGGTGGTCAAAAATCAACACAAAGTTGTATTTTAGTTTATATTAAAATTGGATGCGTGCATGTACAACACCTAGGACTGTATGTCACTGCCACTGACTGTTTGCAAACACCTTGGCTCCTCCACAGCACAGGATTTGAGGAAATAACCTGTTTTATTAACTTGAACACATCAAACTCTTGCAAAGCTTCGGTTATTGCTTCAACTTTTTTTTACATAGTTCTGAGGTCAACCTTAAAGTAAATATATCCAGTGCCCATGAATCCTGTACCCAGGATAACATTTTGATGTCGCGATATATGTTATTCAAAGAACCCGGGTTCTGGGGGATCAATTTGTTTTACAGATTTATGGTTGTGGTACTGCAGTGGTAAGGATGGGTTCAGAGCTAATGATCTGCAGAGAGGTTTTTGCGCCTTGCTTTCAAAATGTCTTTGCCATGTCAGTGGCAGGTAACATCAGTCCAGACCTGGGATTAAGCCACAGTTATCCGACTACAAGCTCATCGCCGTTGAAGACATACTCGGGGACCTCCAAGTTCTCGGGTGCTGGCCCCTTCCGGATTCTCCCCGATGCGTCGTAATGGGAGCCATGGCAGGGACAGTAGTAACCACCAAAGTCGCCGGCGTTGGCAATCGGCACACAGCCCAGGTGCGTGCACACGCCAATGAGGATCAGCCACTCGGGGTCCTTGACCCGCTCGTTGTCATGCTGCTGGTGACGCAGGGAGGAAACGTCTACTGAGGTGACGTCGTCAATCTCGGCCTGGGTCCTGTGTCGCACAAAGAGCGGTTTGCCTCTCCACTTGAAGGTCATATTCTTTCCCTGGAGACAAGAAGAGTAATTGAGAGCTACAAATTCTGCCCGGCTTGGTAAATTTACAATGGCATTCGATTCCCTGGCAGTGGCTGGGAGAAAGTCAGTGCATTCTTCCCATTCCAAAGCAATGATTCAGCATATTGGCAGAAAATGGACAAAATTAACGAACTTCCGCACTTCAAAACTAAAGTAAGCTTTCGAGGAGAACCCTGCATGCATCCATCTTGTGAAAGGAGTTGCTCCCAATCCCTTGCTAGACCAAGGGTAATATCAAACACGTCCAACTGTATGCTCCAAATTTGCTTTCATTCACTCAGAGTGGGAAAAGCTGAAATGTGACCCCAACCTTGGCTGTTGAAAATCGTCAACTAGATAGAAATTATGGAGAATGTTACAGGTTAAAGATTTGGTGAATTGGCATTGTTTTTTATTTTAGCACATGAAGTCTCAACATGGTTACATACTAACCTCCGGAATCTCGCTCAGTTTGATTTCAATCTTGGCCATGGCCAAGACATCAGCTGACGCGCTCATGGTGCTGACAAACTCTGTCACCAGGGTCTTCGCTACGTAGGCCGCGGCTATGCCACCTGCGCCCACCATCATGTAGGAGTAGGCTTTGCGATCCACCGATTTCTGGTGGGCTGGTTTGTTGGGGTCTTGTGTGTCTGCATGGCGGTACTCTGAGAAGTCAGGAACCTGGATGTCGGTGTGTGCATATCTGACATAGCTGGGTCCTGGAGAAAGGAAGAAAATGACCCAGTAGTTATCAGATACCCTTTGGCTGTTTCTGTTATTGAATATGCCATAAACTGTGCAGACTCCACCAAACAACAAAACAATTGCCTGGGGAAAATACCCTTCATTTAACCCCTTGATGACGGGAACTTTTTTCTGAAAGCTGACTCCAAGAATTCCAGCCTCACTTGGCCTCGAAGGCCACCTGCCAAACCGAAAGATTCTCGATTTGTGGCCCTGTGTGTTCTGCACACTTTGAATTACACAGTGAAAAGGCTCCTTTTTCGGTGGCATGCGGCTCTACTCTCGCTTCCACATTCCCGTTGCC